CCTCCCTTACAGCAAATATTGGTAACAATTATTCACGCTTTCAAGTATTGTGCACATCCTTGATTTTATTTACTTTAACTGTATAGAATTAATTAACTGTATAGATCTTAATTCGTAAAAATTAGCGAAGTTGTTGAAGTAAAACAAAACTGGACGATCAATGGTTACTTTTATTCGAATGAGCGAGTGAGTGAGTGAGTTTAGTTTGACGCCGCACTCAGCAATATTCCAGCTATATGGAGGCGGTCTGTAAATAATCGAGTCTAGACCAGACAATCCAGTGATCAACAGCATGAGCATCGATCTGCGCAATTGGGAACCTATGACACGTGTCCAACCAAGACAGCGAGCCTGACCACCCGATCCCGTTAGTCGCCTCTTACGACAAGCATGGGTTACTGAAGGCTCATTCTAACTCGAACCTTCACGGGTTTATTCGAATGGACTGTATTGTGGAAGTGGAATGCAATTACAAGTGACAAATGGTTAAGATAGGTTGGCGCACATGTGAGATGCGCGTTATACCAGAATGTCACTTGACCGTATCTACCTGATCGTATTTAGAGGTTCAAAATATATTTCAGTGGTACAAAATATATTTCAGTGGTGGAATCAGCATTGCTGCTCCCTGTTCACACTTGAGAGTATCGGGAACGTAACTGCGAGTCGTGGAGCGAGGGAAGAGGACATTAAGAGACTGGGTAAACGTTGGGCAACACTTACGCGTCACTTGGACTACTGCAAATGAAAATGGGGCGAGGTGGAGAGTCACTCGTCGTCCCTCATTGCTCCTCCGTGTTGGCTTCGAGTAGACAGGAGCGGAGCTCGGTACGTCATCTTGGTCAAATACTAGACAGCAGTTGATGGATTATTGAAAAAGGGAGCCTTGATGTTGGAGGCCTTAGCTTGATGTTTGTGATGTCTGCTGTAGCTGCTGGGGAAGGTGGGGTTGACTGATGGCTGCTGTGGTGGTGGTGGTGGTAGTAGTAGTAGTAGTAGCGATAGTAGACACGTGGTAGTTTTGGTGACGGTTACTGTAGTAGTAGTAGTAGTAGTAGTGACGCAGTGTTGTGTTAGTAGCTGTTGCAGTAGCAGTAGTAGACGCAATGTAGTGTTGATGTATCTTTAGTAGAAGTAGTAGTAGTAGTAGTAGTAGTAGAAGTAGTAGTAGTAGTAGTAGTAGTAGTAGTAGTAGTAGTGGTAGTAGTAGTAGTAGAAGAAGAAGAAGAAGAAGAAGAAGAAGCAGTGTTGTGTTAGTGACGGTTGATGTATCTTTAGTAGCAGTAGCAGCAGCAGCAGCAGCAGCAGTAGTAGTAGTAGTTGCTACGACGATTGCTGTAGCAATAATTGGTTGGCTAGTTTGTTGTTGTTTTACGCCGCACTCAGCACTATTCCAGCTATATGGCGGCGGTCTGTACATAATCGAGTCTGGACCAGACAATCAAGTGATCAACACTGTAGTAGTAGTAGTAGTAGTAGTAGTAGTAGTAGTAGTTGTTGTTGTTGTAGTAGTAGTAGTAGGAGGAGTAGTAGTAGTTGTTGTTGTAGTAGTAGTAGTTGTTGTAGTAGTAGTAGTAGTTGTTGTTGTAGTAGTAGTAGTAGTTGTTGTTGTAGTAGTAGACGCAGTGGAGTGTTGGTGGCGGTAACTGCAGCAGTAGCAGACATGGTGTGGTGTTATTCATGTAGGAAAAACTGTAAGTAGGCCTTCGACTCAGTTTACTGTTTGCTGGCGCAAGGCGATGTGGACGCAGCCAATTTCAATGCTACTCGGTAATTTCAGCAAACAGTAAAAGTCGAATCTGTTAGTCAACACGGCTTAACCGAATCACAGATACTCTTCTATGAACACATATCAATAAGAGTGCATTCCAAAACACGCATGCATAAAATGAACTGATTGAATACACTGATTTTTTTCTAACTCCCACGTGACATCCAAACACGAAAAACCGGATGTAGTTATGCCCAACCGGAAGCCGGGGATCATCACCACAGCAATAAAGCTCTATCCTGAATTTCCACAATAAACTGAAGCGATTTGGGCAAAACATACTTTCAAAACACACCTCAGGTGCATTGTGCAGCCTAACGAAGATAGATCGCCTCGTTTCTACCTCTGCCAGTTATTTGTTTATAATATGCCTTGTTGGATTGGAGCAGACCAAATTGGCCTAGCAAGGTGCACTTAATGAACGACTGTGATCATGTAAAAGGGAAACAGGGCTTGTAAATAAACTTTCGATTGTTGTATATTATTGCATGACGGTTATTTTCAACAGGGGATACATGGAGCACAATCCTTGCATGGCGGAATGAGCTATATCGGAACAACGTGGTACATGATATGGTGTAATTTGGTGTATATTTTAGATGTGTTGAGTTTGCGATGTTGAAACGTTAGAAGGTAGAAGACTGCGACTGTGTAAAGTTTAATACTGCTGCTACTGCTTCTCCTCCTCCTCGTCCTACTACTGCTCTCTTTACTACTACTACTACTACTACTACTACTACTACTACTACTACTACTACTACTACTACTCCTACTACTACTACTACTACTACTACTACCTAACTACATGATAGATGCAAATGATTCCCATTACATGCCAAGAGTGTGTTTAATTGCAATTAAATATCACATAATAACTAGTCGAGTAATATGTATCTTTAAGAGTGTCAGATTCACCCGTGTTTGTGAGTACGGTTTAAAATATTAAACAAAAACAATAACACCTCCCCCCAAAAAAAAAATAAAAATAAAATAATAATAACAAAAACCAACAAAACAAACACCCAAAATCAATCAATAACACAAACAACAGCATCAACAAAACAATACAACAGCAAAACAAAAATCAACAACAAACAAACAACACAAATAACCCCAAAAAAAAAAACAAATTAAAACAAGCAAGCAAATAAAAAACCAAAAACACTAAGCAAATCATCAAGAACAATAACAAAATACAAAGGAAAAAAGAAAACACATACAAAAAACAAACAAAAAACAACCAACAACCTAAAAACACACACACGAAAAACACAAAGCACAACCAAAAAATCACCCAAAGTTGTATTTCATAAAAGCAGAGCAACCACATAAATCAAGGCGGTATGCAATTTCGAAATTAAAACAGGGAGATATACAGACAAAGAAATATATTGGCCGTGTTTATACATGGTACGGTTTTACACATTATGTGATCATCCACTGAATCAGATGCACAAGTCAGACCCAGCTTGGCAAAGTTCAGCTGCTAATAAAGCCACGTCACGTTTTTAAAGAAATCCGTAGCACAATTAAAAGAAGCCACCACACACCAGAAACCACTACTGGAACTTCCTCGCGAGATCTCGAGTTCTCATGACGATTGTAATTAACTCGTAATGTTTCAATGATCAGATTCCAACCCTGCCGAGCGCAAAACATGACTTGCAGCAGGTTGAATAAAGGCAATTTACACCAGACAAACCTTAGCATGTGCTTAGACATAAAGGTCGAGAATTTCCGGTTGAATTTTTTTATCGACAAGAGCAGATATAATTTTCTCCAATCTTTTTTATACATGGTTAGTGGTAGGATTCATAGCACATAATTAACGCTAAAGTCGCGAGTGTTTGTAAAAACGTGCAGACTTCCTAAAATAGGAAAAACGAAATGAGAATTTAAGAAGGCGAATCTCAGTCGTCGGTTGTATTTCGGGCAGCCAACGGTGGGGATGTTTGTACAGATTTATCTCAGCCCAGTCGCCGTTGTAGACAATGATGTTACAAATTATCGTCACTAACATCGTTGATCAGGTGGTGTCGGAAGGAACAACGAGGTGCGGAAAATTAGTTCAATCAGAACCGGCGTTCGCATGTGTGTTCAATTTTGAACCTACCTAGTTGGCGTGGACTGAAGGAAGCCGTACGAGCCGTATTTATTCGGTTAGACCACTCATTTTGTTTATGGATTTTGTATGATTATAAAAACGTCTGCAGTTCGAAATGGAATCTGTAAAAATACCGTTATTTCTCATGTTGCTGATGAGTATATTGATCTGTTAAAATAATGGCGTCAGTCTCGAAAAACTTTCAAAGTATGAAATACTTATTTCTTTCCATTACCGAAATGTGAATTGTGTTTGAGAGAACCCACGAAAATGTTCATTAAGATTGTTTTTTTAACAATTGAAAATTTGCAGGCTTTCCCGAAAAGCGTGAGTGATAACTTAAGCACATGCCATGCTGTGCCTACAAATACACCAACACCTGCGGCTGCAACACCTACATCCTGAAGAATCTTGTAACTCTCCATACTCCCAGCAGATCACTCCGCTCCAGCAACTCTTTCTTCTCTCCCAGCCAACCACCAGGACCACAATGGGTGACAGAGCCTTCTCAGCTGCAGCCCCACTACTCTGGAACAGCCTTCCTATCACTATCAGAGAAATCAACTGTAAAGACTCTTTCAAAAAAGCCCTAAAACCCATCTGTTCACAATATCCCTCTCATGGACTTTTCTTACACTCATCTTCAGCGCCGTTGAGCAAATACGTTTTGGAAGCAGGCGCTGTATAAATTCATTATCATTATCATCATTATCATCATTACCCTCCTACATATGACTACAGGTAGTGAACTTTGAAATCCGGGTTAGAATTGGTCTTCAACAACCCACGTTTATCGTAAGAGACGGCTAACGAGATCTGAAGGTCACAATTGGTTAACGCATGTCATCATGTCCCATCTGCGTAGATCAATGCTCATGACGTCAATAACTGGATTGTCTGGTTCAGGATCGATTATCAACAGACCACCGCCACATGTTTGAACACTGAGTGCGGAGTGAGTTAACAAACAAACCAAAAACCCACAGACAAGTAGTGTTTTTCATCAGATCTCTACGTCTTCTTTGATTGGCATTCTAGAAGTTGGGTAGATGAAGAATGATGACTATTTTTATGGATATACAACTTCTTTATTCTGTAAAGGCGATGTTTCGACATAGATTCTAATGGTTTTTTTTATGGCTATACAACTTCTCTATTCTGTATAGGCGATGTTTCTACATAGATTCTAATGTCGTTGTCAAGCAAGTCGTTGCAAAATAGTCCTCATTCTAGATCTCTACGTTCCCATATGAGGATATTTTTCCGGGGAGAAGAAGGGACATGCTTAGGTGAACTGGAAGTACATCCCAAAATGAGGAGTAGATACGTCAACAGGTGAGGGGAAAGTTGTACCCAGGTTAGGAGGTGATACACATACGATCCCAATTAAGGGAGAGGTAAGTCCACATACGAGGAGGAGGTATTACCCCAGGTGCGGACATGGTACGTCCTCTAGTATAAAGGAGGTGCGTCGCAAGGTGAGATATGCACATCGTGGGGGTGAGTGAGTGTACGTCCTCAGGTAGCGAGGAAGGTGTCCTCAGATGAGGAGGAGGCATGTCCCCAGGTGAGGAGGAGATACGTCCCTAGGTGAGGAAGGGGTGTGTCACCTGGGTCCAGATCCATAAAACGTTCGTAGCGCTACGGCACTCGTAAACCTGTGATAAACTATAGAGTTATCAGGTCGTAACGTTACGAACCCTTTCTGGATAGGGACCCAGGTGAGGATGAAGCAAATGCTCAGGTGTGGAGGAGGTATGTCACCAGGTGAGGAAGAGGTGTGTTTCCAGGTGATGAGGAGATACATTCCCAGGTTAGATGGAGGTACTTCCCCAGCTGAGGAGGAGGTACCTGCCCAGGTAAGTAATATATACATCATTAGGTGACAAGATGGAACGTCCCCAGGTGAGGAGGAGGTTTGCCACCAGGTGGGGACATGTGTCTCCAGGTGAAGTGGAGATCTGTCCCCAGGTTAGAAGGAGGTACGTGACCAGGTGAGGAGGCAATATGACCCCAGATAAGTAACAGTTACATCCTGAGGTGCGAAGATGGAACGTCCCAAGGAGACGACTATTTACATTGTATTTCCTCAGGTGAGTACCTGTGAGTACGCAGGTGAGGAGTACTTACATTTTATTTTCCCAGGTGAGTAGCTGTGAGTACCAGGTGAGGAGTACTTACATTGTATTTTCCCAGGTGAGTAGCTGTGAGTACCAGGTGAGGAGTACTAACATTGCATTTCCCCAGGTGAGTACCTGTGAGGAGTTGGTACATCCCCAGACGACGACTGGGTGTGTCAGTGATGAGGCAGGCAATTGATGTCCGAGATCTGAGACCCCGTTGAGCGAGGGTAAAGAGGTCGGGGTATGGCAGGCACGTGAGGGGGGATACCGGTCATGATCAACTCCACATGGCCGCTCCACATGGAAGCTCGGGTGAACCACATTATCTGAAGATAGGCCACATTGCCTTCTTGTTTCATGGCCTTTGTTACATCCCTTATGTTGAGGAGAAACATGTAGATTTGTTTTCCTTTGCACATGAATATTTTCATTCCAAATGTTTTGGAAGCGGAGTATTATTCCTCTTATGGGGCGAGCATTAATCCTCTCGGAGTGGTTGTGAGCGGCTTTCCATAACACATATATGCCGCTCGATTTTGTAATTTGACCTGTAGTCAAAATACGTATTTCCATATTCAGGGAACAGTTTAGGTTTTAGCAAATGAGTGAGTGAGTGAGTATGGTTTTACGCCGCTTTAGCAATATTCCAGCAATATCACGGTGGGGGACACCACAAATGAGCTTCACACATTGTACCCATGTGGGGAATCGAACCCGGGTCTTCGGCGTGACGAGCGAACGCTTTAACCACTAGGCTACCCCACCGCCCTTTTAGCAAATATTGAATGGTCTGCCCAAAAGGAAAAGTGTGTGTGTGAGTGTGAGTGTGAGTGTGTGTGTGTGAGTGAGTGAGTGAGTGTGTGTGTGTGAGAGAGTGAGTGAGTGAGAGAGTGAGAGTGTGTGTGTGTGTGTAAATGTTTACTTTATCATACATTTTATTCAACATATCTCCTTGTTGGTAATCACTGTATATTTTTCGTATTTTCTAATTGGTAACAATTAAACGTAATAGAGATGTCGTATATGTATATAAAACATTTTTTTACACCTTTCATCAGCAAATAATTAGAATAATTTGTAAACACATATATAACCTTTCATTTACGTATGAATGTGTAAGTATTTGTGAGTGAGTGAGTTTAGTTTCACGCCGCATTTAGCATTATATCAGAAATATCACGCTAGGGACACCAGAAATGGGCTTCATACATTGAACCTACGTTGGGATTCGAACCCGGAACTTCAACGTGACGTGCGAACGCCTTTACCACTCATCTCAGAACCGGCCCGTTAGTATTATTGTTACAGCATCGCAATAACTGTAAGTCAGGATAACGTCATGATAACATGCCCGTCAACAAATGGACGAGACTGTTATCTCCTTGGACTAACAATATTGTGTACACAAAGCTATCTGTGCTTTCCGTTCATTTCCTTTTGGTAATCTCGTTGCCTAGCAGGCCACCACTCTCGCCGTCATCACCTGGTCTGGTTGTCTGATGTTACATAAATCATGATAACGGTTCGTGCAGAGGTGGATGAGTACAGCTACAGTTGCTGTTGTTACTGGCGTCGTAAATGCCGATGACGTCCTCCTGGTGTCTCTGCGGGATCTGCTGGCATCAATGACCAGGTCGGTCTCGCAGTCCCAGAACCATATTATATCCCCTCCCACCAACCCTATCTGCGAAATCCCTAAAAGAAGCAAGTCGGGATTTTTTCTCACATTAAGCATCTCACTGGGATCACGTCTCTTTTTGTTTGTTTGTTTGTTTGTTTGTTGTTTAACACCGCTCTCAGCAATATTCAAGCTATATGGCGGCGGTCTGTAAATAATCGAGTCTGGACCAGACAATCAATTGATCAAAACCAATTGGGATACGATGACATGTGTCAACCAAGCAAGCCCGACCACCCGATCTCGTCAGTCTCCTCTTAAGACAAGCATGGGTTACTGAAGGACCAATTCTAACCCGAATCTTCTCCCGGATCCAAATACGATATGTTCAAAGACTAAGAGTTAGTCTTTCAATGACGATGTTGTTTTTATGTTGATGACGTTACATTGTGACGTTTACGTTGTCTCCGACGTCTTGTCCGTGACGTTGATTATGTTGTATCTGGTGGTGGCGCAGATCGATGCTCATACTGTTGATCACTGGATTGTCTGGTCCAGACTCGATTATTTACAGATCGCCGCCATATTTAGCTGGAATATTGCTGAGTGCGGCGTAAAACAACAACCAACTAACCAACCAACTACTGCTACGGCAACCGTCAGCAACACAACACTGCATCAACTACTGCTACAGCAACCGTCACTAACACCGCACTGCTTCTTCTTCTCCTTCTACTACAACTACTACTACTACTACTGCTGCTGCTGCTACTACTACACTACTACTGCTACTGCTACTACTCACTCACTCATTGTAAACCAACTAATCCCCTTTTTTGTCGAATCTCATGGCACGGATGTAATTACATTGCCCTGGTAACATCAAGGCGCGTTGGACAGCTGAATTCGCTTATTGCTTGAACCAACTGTTGTCATTCCCAATAAAACTGACAATTCCGCAGCAAATCTAAGTCAATTCCTGTAAATTGCAAAGAGTAAATATTATGAGAGCTTCTCTGCTCAGGCAAGACAAACAGAATAGTCGCCATTTCATGAATGTCTGACTCTAAATGTCTATTTGAGATTTATGGACGTCTGGGAGGCAAACAGATAAATAAACAGACAGATAATCACCGTCAAATAAAAACTTTAGAAATTGCTCCATCTGAAAATACAACAGAAATCACAATCGGAAAAATAGGTGAAATTAAAATTGAAAAGTAGGTATAATACCACACTTAAATATATTGACATTTTAAGCTGTATGATATGCGAAACTATTTTGAAGTGAAATAAACACATGACATATCGTACACACAGACCTGATCACGTATATCATGTGAAATAAGCACTGCGGGGAAAAGAACCCATAAACAATTGTTTGATTGTGGTTAGAAATTAAACTACACGTGATATCCGTAGGTTGTGTTTTTGAAACGGATATCAAAGTTGTTTTTAGACATTGAGTTTTTTCAGCTACTGTTTTCAGTTTTTTGTTGATTTACTCTAATTTTAAGTGAATATTTTTGTCCTGGCAGATTACATGAGAATAGCCTTGCTTAAAGTCTGTACTTAATCAATGATTATAGGCAAGTCCAGATGAGCGGACTGTTCAAGTCTTTCATAGGGATTTGTTGTGGACATAAGCCTTAACTGGCTCATGATTATGACAAAACACATTTGCTCTCTGAAAATGTAACATTAGTTATATCCACAGGGGCATGTAACGCTAAAAACTGCCATCAAGGTTAAGGTCAGGTTAAGGCCAAGGTCGTCAATGGCGAACGCGCACGACAGAATTCTGTTTGCGATGAATAAATGTACGTAAACTCATTATGACAGTGAGGTGTAAGTGTCTCCGAAAGAATGGCGACTAGCTCGCTGACAGGTGCCATCAGTTCAATGTGGAATAAACAAGAAAATGGGTGAGTTACCGCTACAAATTCTGAGCTGAGATTTTAGCTCCGATCCGAGAAATCACGATTTTTCGAGCTCCCGAAGACCCTAGCTCCCAAAGTACTGCTTCGATTTTTGTGCTCTATGTCTTATTTTGTAGGTAAATCTATTGGCTTGAAAGGCGTGCACACTTTAAATGGGATAAATACAGTGAACATTGTTGAATTCGCCCTGACACGAACCTGGTGTGTTGACCTCGTTACATCCCTTTCCTTTTATATAGTGCTAAGACCCCGTCAGTGAAAGTACATACTTTGATGGCAGTTTTTAGCGTTACAAGCCCCTGTGGTTATATCTGGGAATAAACTTTCTTTGTAAAATGCAAATTAGGTCATTTACTCTGAGAGGTGTAGATAGAATCCCGGATGGGACTCAACACAAAAGAGCACTACATCTGTACTTTACTGACTGACTGAGTTTGGCTTTACGCCGTTTTTAGCAATACTGTACTTTACTGAGAAACTGTAATCCCCAATATGTAATGCTACATATGGGCACTATTTAAGAAAGTACAATCTCAAATATAATAATAATGTTACATTTGACAACTTGAGTTTAATTTTACGACGATTTTAGCAATATTCCAGCAATATCACGGCGGGGACACCAGAAATGGGCTTCACACATTGTACCCATGTTGGGAATCGAACCCAGGCCTCGGGATGACGAGCGAACGCTGTAACCACTAGGCTATCCCACCGCCCCTTCACACTATGACACAAAAACAGGTGAGTAGTATTAAGTATAGGAGACCTTCAGTCGTAATTTGTGTATATTTTGACAGAATAAACCTAATAAATAGCCTATCTCTGAAAAATAAACCCCATACAATTTCGATAATATTGTAAAGTTATATTCACATATAACGAAATTTAAGTTATTCGAATGAGGGGCGGTGGGGTAGCCTAATGGTTAAAGTGTTCGCTCGTCACGCCGAAGACCCGGGTTCGATTCCCCACGTAGGTACAGTGTGTGAAGTCCATCCCTGGTATCCCCCACCGTGATATTGCTTGAATATTGGTAAAAGCGACTTAAAACCATATTCACTCACTCACTCATGCAAATGGTTGTAACAACAAACACTTGGTGTAAATGATAGAAGTCATAATGTAAATATCCGTTTCCAGTATTCTTGAGACTCTGAAGTCCCATGAGTCACGAGAACATGAAATACCATGTATTTGACGTATGCTTCTTACCGTAGTCCCGTAAGGTTTGGTTTAGAGAGCCTGACCAGGTGGTACAATGGCGATCATTTACATCACAAACATAGTAGAATACCGTTTTCTACTTGAAAACTATCACATGAAAGTAATACTTCTGTAGAAAGGCAATAAACTTGCAGCCTACTATACTCCCAAGCATTTGAAAACTTTTTTCTTTGTCTTTATATATGGACTTAAGCGCTAATCGAAATTTTCCATTATTAGACATCTTGTCTGAACCCGTGCTGTGTTTCTAATGAGTCCAGAAGGTCATCAACTTGTGCAGTGTAGATATTTCGTGTGTGCCGTCTTTACCGACAGAGACGCGAAATACGGCCTGGATATATGGATATAAGCCTGGATATATGGATATAAGCTTGGATATATGGCGGATATCTGCTGGATATATGTCGGATATAAAGGACTTCCCATGTCGATGAACTAATGGTGCTGCTAATGATGTTATGAAAGGTTTTAAACATCCTTTGTGTAGCCGAGTGCTATGAGATGTTCTTTAGACTTTTTATACCTCGCGTCCTTGTCGTTATAAGTGATGATTGCATTTTATTCGCATTTCTTCTGATTGAACTAAACTTGAATTTAATGACATAAACGCTCCTTAAGAGTTACGGTTCTCTTTTTTGACGACATAAGTGAAGGGCGTAGCGCAATTTACTTTCTTTCTAATCAATTTTATATAATTTAGATACAACTTGATGTCTGCATGCCTGAAATTACAAACATTATATCTACAGATGCTTTGTGTCGGATGATTCGCAATTTATATTGATGCTGGAGTATTATTATTATTTGATTTATTATTTTTTTATAAGAAAGTCTAATGAGCTGATCAATTGTTATATTGTTTTGCACTTTTAGGTAAACGTTGATTGTCAAAAAAAGAGACTTCTCAGTTTTGTGCGAACATGATTGAAAGTGAATCTAAGTTGGGTCATGCTCTGATACTAGTTTACTGTCGATGGGGGTTCAAGTGACCATTCGTGGACAAGGGTCTGCAATACTGCTTGTCCATTGAACAGGTTCTTCAATCGCCAAAGACAACGCAGTATTTGATCTTATTGATTATGAATACCCGTGAGGATCGAGTTAGAACTGATCTTCTTCATGCCATGCTTGTCGTAAGTGTGGTGATATGAAAGGCAACTATCACTGAATTATGTGGGTTTATTCAAGCTCAAGATGGGCTTACATAAAGAATAGTCAAGACAGTGACACTGTGCTCTCATGCAAGATGAAATTACTAGGCTTTTTCCGAACAGTAGCGGACTGACCCATATTACTAACGGGACCCATAGGCGACTAACGGGACGGATTGGTGAGTCTCGCTGACTTGGTTGACACGAGTCATCGTATCCCAATTGCGTAGTTCGATGTTCATGCTGTGGATCACTGGATTGTCTGGTCCACACTCGATTATTTACAGACCGCTGCCATTCAACTGGATTATTGCCAAGTGCAGTGTTAAACCAAAAAATACCAAACAAACAAAATTTGATTATAAATTCATAACTTTAGCTTATAGGTGGGTAATAGTTCCTTTTATGCTGCACAAAACCAACTGTTTTCCCACAGACCTCTATAGTAACGTTACAATTTCTTTCAGAATTTAATTACACAGTCTTCAGCAATTACGTGTACACATGTGCAAAGTCTGGTCTTACAACAGCAATAAAACAAAAAAAAAGGTTAACTTAACCTACTCCTTTCCTAGTACAGGAAGCTAATCAGACCACCCCAAGCACAAAATGTCACCCACGTTAAAATAACTGGTCACATTCAGGGCAAGTGATAAAGTTTAATTAGCGGATGGGTGTACATTTAAAATGTGTACTAATCAACGCACAATAATTATTAAACCACAGCTACCAGATTTCCATAACGATTTAGACGCAATAAACACTGCAATAGGATATACCATCACAATAGAATGAGTGAGTTCAGGTTTACGCCGTTTTTAACAATATTCCAGCAATATCACGGCGTGGGACACCAGAAATGGGCTTCATACATTGTACCCATGTTGGGAATCGAACCCGGGTCTTCGGCGTAACGAGCGAACGCTTTAGCCACTAGGCTACCACATCGCCCTCGTCACAATAGAACGCAACACAATGCATTATAATCTATAACATATTTTGCAACGCAGCACATTACATTACACTACAACACAACGCAATCCGAAACCATCGGAACCATCACAATAGAACGCACCACAACGCAGTATATGATATCCTAAAACAACGCAGTTCAGTTGCTACGGAAACTGGTCGAACGATGAATTCTGCTTGGTGTGGTAAAACCTGTTAAACGAAATGACCTTGGTGGAGTGGCATTGTTGAGGTGGTAGTTTTCTGTGCAAACAACATCGCACTGCATCTCTGATAGGAATGTTTTCATGACTGATTACAAATACTGTATCCTTGACAACAGACATTAAGCCCCCTCATTCTTAACGGAGGCATTGACAGCGGTAGTAGATGTCGTATTGGACATGGGCGCATTAACAGCAACGTGGCTGTTGTAGTAGCAGTGGCTGTTGTGGTAGACGCATAACCAGCACCAACGATTGTCGTAGTAGAGGTAGACGCATTAACGGCAGAAATACTTGACGTAGTAGAAGTAGACAGATTAACAGTAGCAGTGATTGTCGCAGTAGAGGTAGATGCATTAACAGTAGCAGTGATTGTCGTAGTTGGGGTAGACGCATTAACAACACAGACGATTGACGTAGTAGAGGTAGACGCATTACATGCAGCAATAATTGTCGTAGTAGATGTAGACGCATTAAAGGTAGCAGTGGTTGTCGTAGTAGTGGTAGACGCATTAACAGTACCAAGGAGTGTCGTGGTAGATACTTGACGTAGACGCAGATTAACGGCAGAAATACTTGACGTAGTAGTGAAGTAGACAGATTAACAGTAGCATTGATTTGTCGCAGTAGATGCAGGTAGATGCATTAACGCAGTAGCAGTGATTGTCGTCGTAGTTGACGCATTAACGGCAGAAATACTTGACGTAGTAGACGCATTAACAGATGCATTAACAGTAGCACGATTGACGTAGTAGAGGTAGACGCATTACATGCAGCAATAATTGTCGTAGTAGATGAAGACTTATTAAAAGTAGCAGTGGTTGTCGTAGTAGTGGTAAACGCATTAACAGCACCAAGGATTGTCGTGGTAGATGTAGACGCATTAACGGCAGAAATACTTGACGTAGTAGAAGTAGACAGATTAACAGTAGCAGTGATTGTCGCAGTAGAGGTAGATGCATTAACAGTAGCAGTGATTGTCGTAGTGGTGGTAGACGCATTAACAGTAGCAGTGATTGTCGCAGTAGTGGTAGACGCATTAACAGTAGCAAGGATTGTCGTGGTAGATGTAGACGCATTAACAGTAGCAGTGATTGTCACAGTAGTGGTAAACGCATTAACAGCACCAAGGATTGTCGTGGTAGATGTAGACGCATTAAGGGCAGAAGCGATTGTCGCAGTAGATGTAGACGCATTAACGTCAGAAGTGATTATCGTAATAGTGGTAGACGCATTAACGGCACCAACGATAGTTCTTGTAGATGTAGACGCATTAACGGCAGAAGTGATTATCGTAATATAGATGCCAAATTACACATGGGCACATAAACTGCAAAGTAATTGTCGTAGCAGCGGTGACTGTTGTAGCAGTGGTAGACCCATTATCAGCAGCAGTAATTGTAGCGATAGAGGTACATCGTGAGATAAAGAAGTGAAAGACATTTTCTGATTATGATAATACTCATTGCAGTTGCAGTAGAAATGTCAGGAAAATAAGAGGCCGTTGATGGAGTCGCATGCACACGTTGCGGCAGCCGCAACAATGTAACATTAACACCTGAAACAATGATGATGATGATGTAGGCCACGTAACCATAACCATAAGAACGTGATTAGAAACGCATCCATGTTATCAGGCACATAAGTCATTAACCTTTTGTGGTCCGATGAACATAAGACTAATTATCTTAGCGTTAGCCCGCCCCTGAAGCTCGACCTCGTTAGCCTACTAACATTTGTGTTAATCACGTCGCTTGTACCCTCTGTCGTTACCTGTGGCGGTGGCCATGTAACTGGCTTTGTCGGAGCCCCTCGCGAGTTAAGAGGTTTAATTGAGCAATTACGATATGTATACAATAGAAGAGCCGCAGGTGAGAGTGTGGCGCGTATCCGAGATCCCTGACTTGAATACTGACCTCCACATGGCGGTCACAAGTACCGAGATTCATTGTCTGTCGAAGAGGTCACCTGTACGTGAAAAAGGAAGGCTGGTTAGGTTCAGTATGCAGGCACATGGACACATTTGTTGACACTAGCACACCCGCACCCTTTTTGATAGCTTCAATTTACAATTAATACTTTCTAAGGACTTATTTGTACCACAAATTAACCAACGTGAATAATCAGTGGGGTGGAATCCCCTTTGAACTGTCTGCAATTGTATACAGTTCAACAGTAGAGTCCAACAATCCTGGTACAGCACTGCAGTCATTCCATCGAACTGACCACTGTGCTGGTTCTGTCCATCCAACTGACCAGTGTGCTGCTTCTGTCCATCCAACTGACCACCTCCATACTGCAAATCCCAGACCTGGAGACCTTCACTGCACGTGATTCCTGCCATCTGTCCACCTGACTGACCAGCAGGAACCAGCTTTCCAGCTTACTCCAACCACCGTCATGTCCACTCCGCTTCAAGTGCAACTGTCCTCTCATATGAACGCCTTACCCACGTCCACCAAACCATCCCAAATACAGCACCCAAATATATACAAAGTAGTCCAGAGTAATATTACAGAGAATAATGCAATAAAACACAGCGCATTATGGCGATTTAGATCTAGGATATAAACACATTACACTGTAATAGAATACAACCATCACAACTGAACACAGCACAATGTATTATGATGTAGTTTGCAACGCAACACATAACATTGCAATAGAACACAACACAACGCAATCTAAAACAATCTGAACCATCACAACTGAACACAACAGAATGCAATATACGATATCCTACAACAACGCAATGCAAAGCATTGCATTAGAATACAACAAACGCAAAATATGATATCCTACAGCAACGCATTACAAAACATTGCACTGCAATACAACACAACGCAATCTAAACCAATCTGAACCATGATAATTGAAAACAACACAACGCAATATATGATATCCTACAACAACGCAATGCAAACCATTGCACTAGAATACAACAAACGCAAAATATGATATCCTACAGCAACGCAATACAAAACATTGCACTGCAATACAACACAACGCAATCTAAACCAATCTGAACCATCACTACTTAACACAACACAACGCAATATATGATATCCTACAACAACGCAATGCAAAATATTGCACTGCAAAAAAGCACAAAGCATTCTAAAACAACCTGAACCCAATACAACTAACAAAACAGCAAGAATAGACTTGCAAAGATATGCACTGGACTAAATTCTAAAAAAGTGGTGATTTAACACGCAAAAGGTTTTACAAACATTTTTATTGAAAACTTGGAAAAGACTCGGAAGTTGCCGCATCATACACGGCATTGAAGTATGGAGTCCAACTACATTTTGGCCAGGTTCACCACGATTCATATGAAACAAGATCAACCGGGAATACATTCACAGACCACTCTCTCTTTTACATAATCCTGTTAGCACTACACGATCGATGATATACTTTGATCCCGACCATGAGCTATGAAAATATCATCAACAGGGGCTCGCTTTCCACCCAACTCAGTTATCCGTTTATTTCTCTGGATTACGGTGTGTTGACCAAACAATTATTAAAGTGGTTTTGAAGCAATACGTATGAAATGCTAACACGTTATGCGGTTCTGCTTTGATCGTGACTTCTGATCGGTGTGTAATCGAATAAAGATGATCATGTCAGTTCCCCTAAAGTGTAAACTGTTTGGAGAAATGTCTCTCGGATCAAATAAATCTCGTACGCACGAGAGACATGGTGGTGGAGTACATTGTGATTCATCGCATAGGCCTTTGTACTTCAGAAGAGACGATCTCATGCTTGGAAAAATAGTTTGTCATCCAGACACTGCAATATAAACATTATTCAGAGTTAGCACATGGTTGAGGTAGTTGATGTTATTTGACGCCGCAGTGAACAATTTACAGCTGAATCATTGAGGCGTGAAGACAAGCGAGGATGAGAAGTTAAACTGGTGGTTGATAGCATGACCAACACTCCACACGGTAGGAGTGATACACAACAGTTATCCACTTCGATGTCACTGGGTACTGGGAACATTTCGTACTCAAAGTGGGGCGGAGGGGTAGCCTTGTGGTTGAAACGTTCACTCGTCACGCCGAAGGCCTGGGTTCGATTCCCCAATAGTACAATGTGCAAAGCCCATTTCTGTTGTCCTTCGCCGTAGTATTGCTGGAATATTGCTAAAAGCGGCCTAAAACTAAACTCACTCACTCGTACTCAATGACACAAAGGAAAACTTTA